AAAAAAAAAAAAAAAAAAAAAAAAAAAAAAAAAGATGTGGTTTGGGCTCCGAAAACAGAAACTTAAGGAAAACCAAGATAAACCTAATTAAACGATTTTTCTATATTTTGTTTATAGGAGAAGTAACATTTTTGCAATATTGCTATTCTCAAATTCTTGCTGTCTCTTTGTACAAAACAGTATGCAATAGAAGGTGGATGACAACAACAAAATGACAAACAGGACCAGAACCAATGGAATGGCTAAATAAAGTGATGGAAGTTTAGATCCTTGTATTCTTTTTTTTTTTTTGGTGTGAGGATGGAATTTAGGATCGTGTGCTTGCGAGGTAGGCAGCGGAACCACTGAGCTAAATTTCCAGCCCTATATTCTTAAATAAGAAGTTACAAAAAATGAGTTATCTTCCTTTGTTGTGAGAAGAGATTTTCCAAGAAGAGTAAATACATTTCTAAAAATTGAGGTTTTTAAATTTAGCAAAAATATACATGTATATCTTTTCAATTAGGTTTTATTGAAGTACTATCTCTGAGTGAGAATGCTCATGGACAGTTTTTTGAAATTTCTAAGTCTGTCCATATTTTAAGCTTGCCATTTAATAAAAATAGTCATAAAAACCATTATCTTTGTAAAAGTTAGATTGGCCACTACCCTTTGCCACTATCTGCATTTTAAACAAGGAATTCTTATCTAACGCTATAAGAATGATTCTCTTATGGTGGAGTTTGATACCAGACTGTAACTCACCATCGCCCAAACACTGACCTAACAGCTTTCCACACACAGCTAACACAAAGACGAAGAGCAAAAGGGCCTAGAGGGTCAGGGCCCCTTCTTTCTGCCTGGAGGGGCAAGACGAGTTCCTGGGTCTGGAGCTCCCTCCAGTTCCCTGCCCATCCTCAGTTTCAGCTGCTCACTGTCCTCACTTCCTTCTGTCTCCACCCTCCTTCCTCCCTGTCCTTGAGCTGGGCTTATATCAGTGTGGTTCCTTGGTGGGCTGGTGGCTGGGCCACCGCAGCCTGGGGAAGAAGGAGTCACTCAGGCCCCAGGCCCAATGAGTCACACAGGATGCACTGAGCCTGGGGCTTCCCTCTGGTGGAGGCGAGCTCTGGGTGTGGGAGACCTGAACCATCTTGTGCACAGGACACCAGGACAGGACCACAGTCTCTCTCCCTCTCCCACTTCTGAGAACTTGCAGAACTCTTCTTGCCAAAGACAAAGGCACCTCTTCTATGCCTCAGAAGGCATAGACACAGCGGCCTCTGGGAGGAGGAACAGAGCCAGAGGCGATTAGAACTTCCCAGCTTCTCCCATCCGGGGTTTGAACCTGGCCGGGTTTCACAGCTGGGACAAATCCTAGAGAAGCCAGCTCCTCTGCAATGTTTTGGGGCTGTGTGATCTTGGGTGAGTTACTTAACTGCTTGAGGTTTCAGTTTCCCTGGCTGGAAAACTAAGATAATAAACTCACCTCAAGGGATTTCTGGGTAGTAGATAAATAAAATGTAAGGCTGACTACTGAAACCAGAACAGAAATCCCATTGCTTTTGGACTTTCTGAAAGGGGGTTCGCATGCCCTTTCGGGTGCCCCTTCCCAATTAGGCCACTCACGCACCGAGAGGTCCGGCAGGAGATCTTTATTGTAGGGAGGCGAGCAGGAGGCAGGAAGGGAGGGAGG